AAATAAGTATATTTAATTATAACAATACTATTAAATATTGTAATTATATTAAAAATAATTTATAATGGTTGAAACATAGTTTAAAGTTTGAAACTATTTATATCTTGACGATTAATAATGTACTTTTAAATATTTTTAGTACATATTGACTAATTTATGAGGTTCCAAAGTTGCAAACTCTCTGGTGGCTGCACTGTAATTGGTACGCAAACGAGATTGGACAAGACATAGTGAGATATCATAGTAGAAATTTTAGAGGTTTAATTTGACATAGGCAGTTCAGAAATTAGTAAATCTTATGTCGTCTTCCTAATTTTTTTCCCACTCATTCTTGTACTGATCCGGTCTACTAATGCATCAAAATCGGAACAAGTTTTCGTTTTGTATTATCCCATCCTATTTTAGATTAAGCTAGTCTTCTAAAAAGCTATTTTAGACCAGCTATTGAGGATTTTTTTTGCTCCCTTTTAACAATTAACACACTTAATCGTTTTACATTACTCGGCTAATAACTAGCTTATTTGCTAACCAGGCTTAGTTGTGTGTTTGCTTTTATGATTATAAATTGATCAATTTTCTTAGACCACCACGAGCATCCCTATAAGACATGCAAGATAAACCAAACCAGCACTAGATATGCCACCCAAAGGTGGGGTCTAAGAAATGTAAGATATAAGCAACAGATCCGACCTCTGCTATAGAGTTGAACGATTGTTTCTGTAATGACCCCTAACTTCTGAAAAAGTATGTGAGGTGGAAAAACAACTAAGCTTGAACTTCAAAAAGTTGGAGAGATCAAAGTCTCAAAACACAGAGCGATGTTAAATTCACTGAAAATTTAGAAACAAAGACGAGGAACAGAATGAAGTTGTTGAACTGAGGTCGTTGGAAGATGTTTACAAGACTCAAAATCACGATACAAACAAACTAACCAAATCATCGTTACTACTAACAACAACAACAACAAACAAACAAAACAAAACCAACTTTATCTTTACTTTGAAACCGAAGAATAGTCACAGACAACTACGAAGTCAGGAACTATCTGATTCATTTCCAGCAGCAGCAGTTTTTAGCTTACCATCAAGATCTGGTTCTGCAGCAGCAGCAGATGGCTGGATTGGCTTCTTGAACTGCACCAAGATCATGGTCATGTTATCACATCCTTCTCCTGTCGTCGTTGATGGTGCCAAACATCTGTCAAACACTCTCTCACATATCGATGAAAGTTTACTTTCCTGTACAACTTTTAACAATTAGAACACTCTTCCCACTTCACAATGATACTAACTGAACTTCTGACTCTGACAGATTTAAGAATGCATCTCCCGTAACCAAAACGCCTCAAAATCTATCAGAAGGTCATGTAATTAAAAAGAAACTGTCTGACCATGAAATGGACAAAAAAAAATCAGCAATGCTACATATATATATCAACCAATGAATGAAACTGAAAAGCCCAGATGATTCATCAAAGGTGAAGTGCAACAATCATGTTATCTCACACTTACCGAGTTCAACTGTTCATGGATGAAATCCACTAATTGTTGGCTTGACATGCAATCCCTGAACAAATGGAAGTACACGATTCAGTAAAAGTTGCAAACAGAAGTAATAATAGCAAACTGCAGGGGTCATTTAATCGAACAATGGTGATTGTTTGATTTGTTTCCCAGGGTGGTAATGTTGGTTTGCTTTAATAGAAGCATGCATGAAAGGTTTGAAACTTAAATGGTTCAAGTGATTCACCAGATAAGATAAATGAGATTAAGATCGATATGGTTTTTGAACATAAACAGTTTAAGATTAAAGCGCATGAGAAAGGAAAGGCCCCTTACCAGATACCATCACAGGCCAGCACAATAAAATCATCATCATCACATAGCTCAACCTAAACAAAATAAACATACATATCAAACAGCAAATCATCAAGTAAAAAGTGAAGCAAGAGAGCAATGTATTATGGCAATCACACCATAACTTTATTTCATACATGGTTCGACAAGAAAGAAAATAATATTAAATTATACAGCATACATTGAAAGTGGAAAATGAAAAGAGAACAAATATCCTAAGCAACAAGGGACCTGTACCTTGTTACCCTTTTTTTTAATTGTTCTCCTGTTTTCAAGTTGTTCAGACTTTTTGGGCAAGCATTCTTTTTTGCACAGCCTTTCTGCAAATTGTGGGGGGTGTTTTTTTTGGG